TATGTTGATGTGCTTGATTGAGCCAATATACAGTGTATTCTGAACGGAAAAATCTCATTTTGTATGATATAATGATGTATAGTAAATGAATGTAAATAGATAAATTAAAACAAATTTTTTTTTATAAAAAAGGACCTGGGATGCAGTAAACAAAAAAAAAAAAAGGAAAGGCAAAAACCAGGAATAGATCTTGAACAAGAACAACTCTCACAATCCTTATGCAATCACCCCAAAACTTTACCCAATTTTCATCCCGCACCCCATTTCACCACTTAAACCCATGTCAACCCTGGTCAATCAAGATGGGCATTTCCGCCAGGCCTCTGGTCAGCCAGGGACACTGAGGCAGGGACAGCTCTGCCCCCTTGCCTCACTTCCAGGCCTCCCAGACCAAGACCCCACCCCCTAGACTGTCCTTTCTCCAGCACCAGGTGACAGAACCAGCTCCAGGCCTCTGGTCAGCCAGGGACATTGAGGCAAGGACAGCTCTGCTCCCTCACCTCACTTCCAGGCCCCCAAGACCAAGACCTCACCCCCTAGGAGATACTGCTTTTCAGGCACTCCAGTAGAGTACCCCTCTTGAGACCCATTGGTAAAAACAACAGAAGAGAGACTTTGGCAAACATTAATTTTCAGCAAAAGGGAAACTCACTTATTCCTAGTTAGAGAAACGTTCCTGTCTCCTACGAGGTATTCAAAAGTGAATACATCTTCCAATAGCTAGAAGTAGAAGAAGAGCCTCAGGTCTGAATAAACAAGGAAATATGTCTCCATCAAAGGAAAATGGTAACTCCCCTCCATCTCTTGTAAATATGGAGGACATTACCAAAATGTCAGATAAAGAATTTCGAACATTCATGGTTACCAAATTCTATGAGTTGGAATATAAAAGAGACAACGAACTACAGGAGATTAGGAAATCCTTCCAGGGCATGAAGAAGAAATGGACACTCTGAGAAAGAATCAGGTGGAACTATTAGAGATAAAGTCTTTAATACAAGAAATCAAAAACTCTTGAAAGTATTAAAAGTTGATTAGACCATGCTGAAGACCAAATACCTGATGTAGAAGATAAAACCTATGACCTAGAAAAAAACACCAAAAAGAGGTCCAATATGGTGGCACCCAGTGGCGGTGTGAACTATGAAGAGTTCGCCGAGTTCCAGGTCTCATGTGCTCACCAGAGAGAGAGAGAGAAATAGAAAGTGAGAAAGTAACTGCCAGGTCTGGTTCTCAAAGTGCAGTGGGAGTCTAAGCACCGTAACCATCATGCTACCTGCTGACCCCAAAGGAATTACTCAAGGTGATGAGGACACTTGATGACAGAATAGTACATGAATTAAACAATACGGTTCCAACAGCTTCCTCTGCAGGGAAAACTGATGCCAGCCGAACCTGTAAACAACTTTATGAGTCTCTGATGGCAGCTCATGCCAGTAGGGACAGAGTCATAAAAAATCGTATAGCCCAGACCTCAGCAGTAGTAAAAAGACTCCAAGAAGAGAGAGAAAACAATCTGGATGACTTAGTATTATTAAAGCAACTTAGAAAACAGCAGACAAAGTTGAAATGGATGCAACTAGAACTGAATGTTGAAGAAGTGGTAAATGACAGAAGCTGGAAGGTGTTTAATGAACACTGCCGAATTAACTTTAAGCCTCCAAAGAATGAATAAAGAAAAAAAGATACTTTTCTTTTTTTAAAGGACCTGGTCATCTCATAAGAGCTAAGCATGACAGACATCAACAAGGCAGGCTTCCTAGGATTACTGAGCCAACAGTCCAAGACCTTCTGTTGATTTCAGCCCCACTTAGCCAAGACCTCAAATATAAATAATTCTGATAATTATGGGGAAATCAATATTTTATACTGATTATGAAAAAAAAAAAAACCTTTTGTAACTATTAAAATAATTTTCTGACTCAAAAAAACACCAAAAAGATCAAGAAAATAACAATGAAACATGAGGATAATATATGAGAAATATTAGACTCCATTAGATGCCCAAACCCAAACATCACAATAATTGGCATCCCAAAAGGTGAGGAAACTAATAACGACATGGAAAATCTGTTCCATGAAATTCTGGAAGAAAATTTCCCAAGTCTAGAGAGGCACTCAACCATCCAGACCCAAGAAATACAAAGGACCCCAAATAGAATCAACCCCAGAAGATCTTCCCCTAGGCACAACTTAGTCAGGCTGTCCAAGACCATAGATAAAGACATGATACTAAAACTGGCAAGAGAAAAACGAGAAGTGACGTACAAAGGCCATCCCATCAGGGTAACACTGGACCTCTCAATGGAAACAATGCAAGCAAGGAAAGAATGGGAAGATGTATTGAAAATTTTAAGAGTGAAACAATTTCAACCAAGACTATTATATCCTGCAAGACAATCCTTCATATGGGAAAAAAAGATTAAAATCTTCTCAGACAAACAAAACCTGAAAGAATTTGCCAACACCAGACCAGCTCTTCAAAAAACCCTGAAGAAAGTTCTGTTCCAAGAAAACTAAAGAACTAATAGCCAGAAACAAAAAAAATAAAAAGCAACTAAGACAATGGCCAACTTAAACGTCGATACAGATCCTGTAACATCGATAACACTGAATGTGAATGGATTAAATTCTCCAATCAAGAGACACAGACTAGCTGAATGGAAAAACAAAAAACAAAACAAAAAACAAAACAGAAACCCTCTATCTGTTGTCTACAGGAAACCCACCTCATGGAGAAAAATATGCATAGGCTGAAAGTGAAGGGGTGGAAAAAGGTTTTCCAAGCAAATGGGAACCAAAAAAACAGCTGGAGTTGTGATACTAATTTCTGACAAAATAGGCTTTAAAACAAAAACTGTTCGAAGAGACAAAGAAGGGCACTATATCGTAGTAAAAAGCTCTATAGATCAAGAAGATATAGCACTTATAAATATCTATGCACCTAACAGAGGAGCAGCCAAATATGTGAAGGAAAGACTGTTAGATCTAAAAAGGGAGATAGCCTGCAACACACTAATTGTTGGAGATCTCAACACCACACTATCCCCTCTGGACAGAACATCTAGGCAAAGAATAGGTAAAGAGGTAAAGGACCTAAATGATACCGTAAATCAAATGGACTTAGCAGACATCTATAGAACTTTCCGTCCAAAAACCACGAAATACACTTTTTTCTCACCCCGACATGGAACCTTTTGAAGATTGACCACATCATAGGGCACAAAGCAAACCTCTATGGACTCAGAGGCATAGAAACTATATCTAGAATCTTCTCCAACCATGATGGAATTAAACTTGATTTTAATTTCAAGAGAAATCCTCAGAAATACCCAAATACATGTAAACTAAATAACCTACTCCTGAATGACTCCATTAATACCGAAGAAATAAAGACTGAAATCAAAAGATTCATGGAAGCCAATGACAATGCAGACATGAGTTTCCATAATCTTTGGGACACTGCTAAAGCAGTCATAAGAGGGAAGTTCACAGCAATTAGTGCACATAAGAGGAAGACGGAAAGAAGGCATATGGATCACCTAACATCATTCCTCAGAGATCTGGAAAAGCAACAGCAAAAAAATCCAAAAAACTCCAGGAGAAAGGAAATAATAAAGATCCGAGCAGAAATAAGTGAAATAGAAAATAAACATACTATACAGAAAATAAATGAAAGTAAAAGCTGGTTCTTTGAAAGGAAAAAAAAAATTGATACACCACTAGCGAGACTTCTTAAGAAGAAGAGAGAAAGGAACCAGGTGAATCAAATCTGCAATGAGGCTGGTAACATAACAACAGACATAGTAGAAATTCAAAACATCATTAGAGGATAACTTGAACATCTATATGCTAAGAAACAAGACAATCTGGATGAGATGGACAAATTCCTAGACAAATATAAACTACCAACAATGCACCAGGAGGATATAGAAAGTCTGAATAGGCCCATATCAAGCCAGGAGATTGAATCAGTAATAAATAACCTCCCAACAAAGAAAAGCCCTGGCCCCGATGGATTCACCTCTGAATTCTACAAAACTTTCAAAGAAGAGTTAACTCCCATTCTGCTCAAGTTATTTCTAAAGATCCAAAAGGGTGAATCTCTCCATAATTCATTCTATGAAGCCTCTATCACCCTCATCCTTAAAACAGATAAGGACAAGACA